CTTTAGTAGGGAAAAAAAAATTATGCGTGATGCATGATGTTTGGTGTTTTATTTGTTTAATTATCGTTATATTTAGCAACTGTACTTTGACAATGTATAAAGACTGATGTAAATTCATTTTATTCTGCTTTAGATACTGAAGATGGAATCTGATAGAATTCCGAAACGTTTATCCATGTCCCCTTTTTGTCCATAAACAAACATGTTGTATATCATAAGTGTCGTAATCTTGTTTATAATCAAACTTCGTTTTCCTTCGAACACATCGATTACCAATTTCTAGAACTTAATTAGAAGAAGTTCGTTTTTCACTTAAAATCACAGGGCGTGTAATATTGTAATCTTATTCTGTCCTTTCTTTGCATTTTTACAAAATTCATTGAAACACTTTCTTGAAATGCATACTATATATACGTGTAGAAAAGACTAATAAAGCAGAAAAACAAATGGTTAGAGAGAGAGATTTTTTAAGTCGTAAATTATATAATCCGGATTCATTTTCAGCATACGCGTAGCAATTTGTATATTACAACTAAACTTCATGCAAGTTTCATTGAATCAACACAAGCGATTTCTTATAAATAATGCATCAGTTGCACCGATAACCTTGTATTATACATCATACGACAGTTACTGTGATAACCTTATATTATACATAAAGCAACAGTTACTCTTATAACCTTACATTATACACAATGCGACAGTTGCTCTGATAACTTATACATAAAGTGACAGTTGCTCTAATAACCTTAAATTATACATCATGCGACAGTTATTGTGATAACCTCATATTATATACATAAAGCGACAGTTGCTCTAATAACCTTAAATTATACATCATGCGACAGTTATTGTGATAACCTTATATTATATATAAAGCGACAGTTGCTTTGATAAACTTATATTATACATAAAGCGACATCTCCCCTGGAATATCTTAGAAGTAACGTGAAAAGTGAGAAAAACGTTTCAGCTTTCGAGATGAAAAAATAATTACAGAAGATTTTTAATACGTGAGGATCATGAAGGGGCAAGGGGGATCACTTGACCCCCCCTGGATTTTCCAAAAGGAAACAATTACTAGATATGTAAAATTATTCTTCTATGTTATTGGAAAATCATAAGGTATTTGTAATTACAGGGGTATTAACAATAGTATGATTAGTATCTAAATTATTTTTATTTCTTGTCGATACAGTAATTTAGAAGATATTTTAATTGAATCATAGTTTTACATTTATTCAGCCTGTACCAGAAAAATGGCAACTTCCAGTCTTCCATAGAAGAAAACAACTTCGATTTCATAACTTTTTCAAACGTGAGTTACTTGACCCCCCCCCCCCTATTTTTTTTTCTACGGGCGCCCTTGGTGAAGATGTATACATCATGACGTGCGACGGCTCCTGGTTATTAACTTCAATATACGATAATACGAATTTCATAAAACCTTTTTTGATAAGTGTGAGAGGAAAACACGGACACGCATGAACTTCGCCCCCACGTGCTTCTTACAATACAGTTCTCAAAATTTACTAAAAAAAGTTACTTCAATATATGAATACTGAAACTAAATAGTGTACGAGGCTGTTAAGATTAGTAGACATTAGATTTCAAGATTCGGTGAATGATGTGGCATGTTACGAAGACAGTGTTCATCCAGTTAGGGAAACAAAAGTGACAGAAAGCACTATACTATTTTAATAACAGCCTTAAAAAATAACTAACAATAACGTACCTTTACTAGTGTTTTTATTTAATTAAAACTGCCAAAATTAAAAATTAAATCAATAAGTTATTGAAATAAATACAAAACTTAAAACTATGGTTTCTCTCCAGAAGACGTTTTTTTAAATATTTTATCCACTGTTATTATCGCCAAACTAATCAACAGATCATATCGTGCTGTAAGTATGAGGGGGTAAATAATAACAACTCGCATAATTCGCATGTGTATCATCAAGTTCGAACATTACAAGGGGGTAAATAATAACAACTCACATAATTCACATGTGTATCATCAAGTTCGAACAGAGTAATGTAAAAAGATTTTTATTCATCGGGAAAAAGTTCCAAAAAGTTCCGGAACATTGTTCCGCCTACAAAAATAAGTGCCAGTACGCCGTTCCGCTATGAATGGAGTTCTGCATGAAGATCGCTTGAGACTGTTTTATAGAGTAGTTAATATAATGAACCTGGAGATCAGCCTAAACTGCTTTATAAATTGACGGTTCACTATAATGTACGGTTTTATAAAGTTATACATTTGGTGGTCCAAAAGATCAGCTTATACTGTTTCATAATATTGACACAATATTACATCTAACGATCGTGCTACAAAGTTTTACAAATCTCATAAGATGTCTTGAAGATCGTTCTACAAGGTTTTATAAATCTGGTAAGATATTGGACCTGAAGGTCGTGATTAATATGTCTAACTTTGTAATCTCTTTTACATAGTAAAGTATTGGATTGAACCCATATAACTTATGTATTCGTACAGCTAAATAAATTGAGTAGAAAAACCCCATTCACAGAGCCTATTTTGTAATAATTATGGTTAAAAACATATGACACGAATATGCATACGTGCACACAAATTACAAACTTTAAAATTCGAGTCATGTCGAAGGATGAATGACTTTTTCCGTCACTAATATGAAGGACAAAGTAGCTGTTGTCTTCTTAAAAGTCACTGGACTCTGGTAAAATATTCAAAATTAATGCCTTATTTTAAAATTTACATTCATGGCAGGCGATTAATTATTTATTTTCAATCATATACGTTACTCATTTATAAACTATATATCTAAGGATATATATATATATATATATATATATGTGATTACTGAAATAAAATTAATGTGCGATGAACATCATAAAAGTTTTTATAATTATTGTGACTCTGGAGGCTGAAAGTGACGTCACTGATCCCAGAGACATGAGTTATGTCACTAACATATTATAATTAAGCTCAACGTTATTCTTCCAGCTTGACATCACAACTCATAACATCCGTAGCAATTTTGTAACACAAGAGTGAATATTGTGGAGATATTTTAACTGTGTATTAAACCGTCGTAAAACTTCATATCAGAGATAATTCTTCTTAATTACTACTTACATAGTCGTGGAAACAGTTGATGAACTGGGGTTTCAGGTGTTCGAACAACATAAAAGTTTTAGGATTAATTTGTAGTAGCGTGAACACGCATGTGTCGATTAAGATTCCCAGATTGGGAGAACCGTAGAAGACACAGTTTGCATTGATATGGTTTTTCTCCACTGTGAATACGAAGGTGTTTTGTTAAGGTAGAACTATCAGAAAAGGCTTTCTTACACATACAACACCGGTATGGTCTTTCGCCGGAATGTGTGCGCATATGTGTGGTGACTGAAGAACTTTGAGAAAACTGGCGTTCACAGATGGGACAACGAAAAGGTTTTTCGCCACTGTGAGTGCGGATGTGCGCTGTTAGGTTAGCCGCCTGGGAGAAAGACTTGTTGCAAGTGTTGCACCTATAGGGGCGTTCTCCGGAATGTGTGCGCATATGTGTTTTTAAGGTACTTGGTCGAGCGTAGGTCTTTCCACATATTCGGCACAAATTAGGCTTACTACAGGCTGATGGCGGTTCTTCCATAACTCCGGTTTGGGAAATGAACTGAGCTGTGCGAGGGACGACAGGTACAACTCGCGGTTTTGGTTTCATTGTGGTTACTGGCTGCAGAAAACCGTAATCAAGGTGTTTGGGTGCTGAGATGCAGGTATTCATGGACTTTAGCGGCGACATGCTAGTCGAGAATTCTTTCTCCAGTGGTGGAAGAGTCATGGTATCACCAGACCGTAGTTCAGCTGTGATTGTACAAGTTCCTACAGGGTTGTACACAGGGGAAGGAGGAGTGTAACCGACTTGTCCATAACCTGCTTGCACCTGAGTAGCTCCATATTGACTGGGAGTTGCTGCAGAAGCACTCCATTGAACTTGAGGCTGGGGTGGTCCAGTGGGACTTCCATAAAACTGATGATCTCCAAATCCTGTAACCCCCATGGTCATATTCATGGATAAGTTCACACTCATCGACGCAGGGAACATAGACCCTCCCTGTGGTTGGGTAGCTTGGGAAACACCATTGCAACCAACTGTACCCATGGGTGAGGGAGGAGGAATGTCTACTCCATAGTACATGTTATTTTGTGGGACCATGCAATTATTATTAGTCACCTGAAACTGGGGGTAGATGGAATAGGAAACGTTGTTAGGGGAGCTGACCCCGTGAGAGGGGGTGCTCCCTCCAAAATTAAGTCCTACATGACCGTAGTGAGGATGTGACATAGGTGATAAAGGTGATAACTGGTCGCTGCATGGTGGGTATACGCCAGAAGACGACGCTACGGGAGATGATGTCAAAAATCCAGTACCGGGATGTACAACAGCGTGCTTTAAGGACAGTAGAACATCAGCCATATCGTGTCCGTAAGGTCCTTTCTCTTTAGCTGCCGGGTATTCCCTAAAAATGAAATATATACAAATCTAGATAATAAGATTTGTGAATTGCTACAATAAATCAAATAATATTAAAACAAACTTAGAACAAAGGTAAGTTTTGTATTTGTTTTCTGCCAGTGTAACTCCACCGGGTTTGAAAACTTTTCTTGTATGAAATGATCTAATATACAACCAGATCGCTTACTCAGAATGGAAGTTTACATAAGACACGATTGAATAAAAAAATACAGGTAATGTTTAGACGAAGAAATCTAATACAAATCGACCGCTGAGAGTGGAAGTTTACATACGACATGGTTGGTTAAACGATTGCAGGTGATATTTACCTAAAAAAATCTAATATTCAACCAGATCGATTGTTGAATGTAAAATCTATCAGAATAATGATATTCTGTATATGTTATTGATATTCTAAGTCAGCTTATTTTGCTAGTACGTTAAATATTAAATCATTTCAGTTTACTGAGAAGACTTTCGCTTGTGAGAGTTTTCTTTAATAGTTATATAGCAACATTTCAGTTCAATGACTTGTAAAAGTTCTTATTTAACCAATTATTTGTAAAAAGAATGTTTCAGTTTAATGAAAGCTTTTCTTTATAAAGGAACTTTTGTTCTAGTAGCTGTATAAAATCGCTGCAGCTTAATGACAGCTTTCGTTTATAAGATATTATTCTACTGATTATTTGTACAATACTTTTTCAGTGTAATGACCATTTTCGTATGTAAGAGTGCTTTTTTCACAGGTTAGTTCTATAAAATGGTTGCAGTTTAGATATACGTTTCGTTAGTTACAGAGTTCTTGTACTAGTTAGTTGTATAAAATCGTTTCGATTTATAGTTTTCGCTCATAACAGTTGTTCACTCTGTCATTTGTATAAAATAATTTCAGTTTAATTTCCGTTTATATTACTTTTTCAACGTGTGGTAGTATCTTAGTCTTTTTATTTACTGGTGGAATGTAACAGTTATCCTAGGCTTGAGTCAGAAAACTGCTCAGCAATGAACTAAAGATGATGAAGGTCATAAACAAAGATTAACATATTTTTTGTTCAGAAAGTTTTAGATATTTTTGAGAAATGAGAATAACCCATACGATCCAGGTCATAATTCACGTCAGTATCAAAACGAATATTCATATGTCCATGCACGTGTTTGTTTAGTTTATTGTTGTTGTTGATTTTAATTACATGGACCAACATTCAAGGTTGAAAGATATCATAGCTATTTTCTTTTGTTTTTCAAATATATAATTTAATGCTGGTTTTGTCATTTAATTTGTACATTTTTTAAATTAAAAGGTAAATAGGATTTTGTCTTTTAAATATTACTTAGCATGGAAAAGTTCGTAACTTTCTTCTCTCTTACTTCTTCTACGATTAAACAACTATCATAATATATTTTTTATAAACTGTGCACGAAGCAGTTAATGAGCTTAATTCATTGTCCGTCATATTTAAAGAACAAAGCTACAACAATATCAAAAGACAGTGCATTAAATTAGTATGTTTGCTTTACTTTTTGATACAATTAAAGATATTTATGTGAATGATATTTAAAATTATTGAAACATTTGAAACTGACTATATTTTCTGTAATACTTATAGTTACCTGAGAAAAAAACGTTTCATTTATCACATTTTGCTGTTTTATCTTTAGGTAACAAGATCATAATGGATTATAAATTCAACTTGACAATGCATTAGCGTTATTTTGGAAAACTACAAAAACTAACACTACAAATGAACAGTAACTATAGTTCTATATTTAAGTAATATATGGTTATATATATATATATATATACATAGTTCTTGATACTGTATTTAATAACGGAAATTGCACAAAATATCCGATGAGTGTTTTCTATTTCTACACATGAATTAGCAATAGAATTTCTCAGCACTATTTCAAAGCTTTCTATTATCTAATATCTAGAAATATTGTATTTTGTTAATTTCTTTGCAGGAAATCAGTTACCGGTTGTTTTACTTTCTAATAACGGTCCAAGGCAAAAAAGATTAATATATTTTCCAAACATTACGTAAATGATATGAAAGAGTAATGTCTGGATATTTTGTAAGAAAGGTTGTACAGTCGCTATATTTCGATTGTAAGTTTTATGACATAGATCATTGTTATCTTTCTCCAAGTAATCAAATACATTTACATTATTTCATAATATAAGCACTTGTTTATTCATCCATCCAGCAGAATTTTAGTTAATTAGAATTATTTGCATTTCAGTTTCAGTTAGAATAATTATGAATATAAATTGGTGGGGTTCTACCTTAGTAAGCATCCTACATTGGTGTACAAAACTTGGAAAAAACGTATGACGCATACTCATCTCTAGTTGGACTATTTTTTATATTAGATTAGATAGTTTCTAATACCTTTTGGCATAACTGTGAAGTTTAGAGCTACTTGATATTTTAGCAAAAAGATTCAAGATGATTTGGTTTGTCACGCCTCAAATAAGGTAAACTAGATAAGGTTGACTACTCTTCGATTTGATATTGGTGGATCAATCTAGTTTAACAGAGAAGCAAATTTCTAGTTTATGTCTTCACCTTGTTCTGCTGTTAATTGCCTCGGGTTTATTACCTTTATTTTTTTTACAATATTTAAACAAACTTCTTGAGGTAGTGATATGTTGATATTGTTTTAATGGATACTGTAGATACCCCCCTTTAACACGCTACTTTTATTTTATGTAGTACTTTGAGAAATTGCTAATCCAGAACGTTTATTTGATTATTAGGGTTTTATGGCGCAAAGTAACCATGGTTATCTGTGCCAAACCCAAAACCCGTTACTCAATGAAGGCACTGCTTCATGAGTCTCTATTTTTTTAATTCAAGCTTAATTGACAGAACCTCTAATAGACTCTTACTGGATTTTAAGTGGTGTCGAATTTGTAAAGGACATTGTGCAATTTTCAATGGGGGGGACTTTGTTTATTTTTTATCTTTTTTGTTTTAATGTTTTACTAATCAGAACCACTTTAAAATATGTTAAAATAGATTTACAATATAAATATCTAAGCATAATATCTACAAATGTTTAATTAGTACAGTTAGTGGTGATGTATCTATGGTTTTTATACTTCAGATCTACTTAATATTCCTTTTGTAATGCAATAATCTCAAACATAACATAAAATCAACTTATATTTTTGTTGTTTTTAGAAAAGAAAAGTGATAATGAATTTTCTAGCCTAATTTCTATGATAAAGGATAGAAAGTGATTTAGATGCAAAAATTCAACAAGTATTACTTTATGACTCTCCTCAGGTTGATTAAAATTAATTGAACTTGTGAGGACAGAAAATTGCTCTCAGTATAAAGAGGCAATAAGGTTTACTTATCATATTTATTTCCTTTGAATAAATGATTAATGGATAGAATTATCTTGGCTAGTAAAACTACAGATTATAAGCATTGGCATCTTTTTATTACGAAAAGGAGATACTATTAGTGAAATATGTCAGATATAAGTGTTCATGTTAACAAGATTTCTCAATATTCATATAATTGTTGCAAAAATTGAAATTTAGAATGTATGATTTGAGAAAAATTACAAGAATAAACGCTTTATATACTTGAGCCTAACATTCGAAACACCTTAGAAGAATGATATAGGACATGGATACCTGAAAACGATGATTTTACGTTTAATTTACCGATGGTGTTGTATGAATTTAAATTTTGACTGTTAACAGGTTCTAACTTTCTGTCACACTTTGCTTCATTATTAATGCTTCTTTTTCAAGTATACTAAAGTAAGACTACCTGAAGTGTCCTGAGTAGTAACTTTGCATCAAGCTCTATATTTACATCATTACTAAAGATTATTTTTACATATATACTAAAGTAAGACTACTTGAACCTAAAGTGTCCTGAGTAGTAACTTTGTATCAAGCTCTATATTTACATCATTACTAAAGATTATTTTTACATATATATATACTAAAGTAAGACTACTTGAACCTAAAGTGTCCTGAGTAGTAACTTTGCATCAAGCTCTATATTTACATCATTACTAAAGATTATTTTTACATATATACTAAAGTAAGACTACTTGAACCTAAAGTGTCCTGAGTAGTAACTTTGTATCAAGCTCTATATTTACATCATTACTAAAGATTATTTTTACATATATATTAAAGTAAGACTACCTGAAATGTCCTGAGTTGTAACTTTGTATCAAGCTCTATATTTACATCATTACTAAAGATTATTTTTACATATATACTAAAGTAAGACTACCTGAAATGTCCTGAGTAGTAACTTTGTATCAAGCTCTATATTTACATCATTACTAAAGATTATTTTTACATATATACTAAAGTAAGGCTACTTACACCAAAAGTGTCATGAGTTGTAAATTTGTATCAAGCATTATAGTTGCTACAATATTGATGATTATTTTTACATATATACTAAAGTAAGGCTACTTACACCAAAAGTGTCATGAGTTGTAAATTTGTATCAAGCATTATAGTTGCTACAATATTGATGATTATTTTTACATATATACTAAAGTAAGAGTACATAAATATAAGCGTCCTGAGTTGTAATTTTGTATCAAGCTCTATATCTGCTTCATCATTAATGGCTATTCTACAAGCATACTAAAGTAAGCCTACCTAAATCTAAAGTGCCCTGAATGGTAATGTCATATCAAGCTACATATTTGCTTCTTCATTCATGATTATTTTTACATATATGTGATTTCTACTTTTGTAACAGCTTTAGATAGACTACTGTATTGTAATTTACTATACACTGTTCTGTACTATGCTGTAATAAACACCATACTATATATTAAACTTTTTGTAGCAATTTCTCTGAACAAAAGTTGATGTTATACCATTTTTATACGTAATGCAATGTTATCGAAAAAATTTTGTATACTAAAGTAAGTATAGTGAGAAGGGGTGCTAATCTATCTTCAGCCCACCATTGCACCATGGAATCGTAACATTAGCTTATGGTATTTATGGGTAAAGTTTTAGGATGTACGTCTGTAATTTCAAAGATAATTATTTACTTTGTTTAACACTCAACATATGCTCATGAGATATAATGACATTCAGGAGTGTGTTGTTATTCGGAGGTGGTATCACCAAAATAATTTCAAATAGAGTGCTAATATTAAAATATCAGTTTCTCTTCGTCTGTAAAGAGATGAAATCTGTCAACAGGACGACGGTAAGCTGGCTTGCATTAACTATCCCTTCCTTTTCTTTCTCTTTAATATTTTAGGATCTGGCTAACGTTTAACATATCAAAGGTTAAATTTGACCTCATGTAGTATATGTTTTATCGTAGTGCATTTTATCAATCTACTCATACATGTTTTTAGATCTTTTTCAATCTAATTTCAATGGCTGTTAAAAATTATGAATATATATATATATATATATAGTCATCAGTTTTAACAAACATTGAAATTAGATTGAAAAACATCTAAAAACATGTATATATAGCGTAGCATCGTCGCTATTGGTCGGATTTCTAAGTAACTGAAGAAATTTAAGATCTACCAGCTATAACAGTGCTTAAGACATGTACTTCTAACGGTGATCAAAATACAAACTGCTATTACAAAATGCTATTAGATAAATTTTTGTCTGAAACTTTTAATACTTTACAACCTTAAACTGTTTTGCAGACTATTCAGTCAATAATCAAAATTTTCATCAGAGAATGATTTGTTTAACCTAACTATTAGTATAGAAAAGTGCTGAACAACCAGTGGGTTGCTTAATCTAATTGTTAATTTGGCCAAGTGCTGAACAACCAAAGGATTACTTGAACTACCTATTAGTACAACGAAGTATTGAACAACATGATTGGTTTGCGTAGTATAATTCTTAATACAACTAAGTGATGAACAGCAAAGTGCTGGACAACCAATATATTTTTTGAACTATCTATTATTAAATAAAATATTGAACAACGTGAATAATTTGTTTAAACCCATTTCTAATCAACAAACTACTAAATGATAAACAATGAATGGGTTAATTAAATAGCTTTTAATCCACCAACAAAATTTTAAACAGCGAAAGGGTTGAATACACCATCTGATAAACCAGCATAATGTTAAACATGAATTTAACTGAATGTTAAACAAACAAAATGATAACCAATGAGAGTTGATTAAATCAATTGTCAATGCGATTTTCGACGCCTTGAAAATTGTGTAAAGTTTATATAAACTTTTTATAATGCATGATTAATGTAACAATGAATACAACTTAAAGAAATCGCCAAATTAAAATAAAATATAATTCATATAGCTAAACTAACAACAGTATATATGGTGAATATATCATGTGTTATCTGAATTAACAGCTTAGAGCAGATTCGAGCGCCCCCCCCCCCCAGTGACTCAATGGTAAGTCTAAAGGCTTGCTACGCTAAAAATCTGGTTTGATACAAGGGGTGGGCACAGTACAGATAGCCCATTGTGAAGCTTTGCGCTTAACAACAAATAAACAAACCAGATTCGAAAGTACGTCAAAACTTTAGTCATAAGAAGAATATAATATCCAAATGTTTTCTTGCTTATTCTAATGATTGCATGATAACACTATCTGCGATAGATAATTTGGACTTACTTATACGGAGGAGAGTAACTGTTGAAGCTTAACATGCTCGCTATTGGATCAGGATCCATAGCTGAAAAACTGCAGTTGGTGAAATTGAAATCCACAGGTGATCGGGAGACATTGAGGTCTGGATATCCGAAGTTCTGGCCGCTTCCTCTGCCGCCAGTCCCATGTGATGCGACCGGCGAATGCGTGTCAAAGACATACCCATTCGGAGGAGTTCGCCACAGTTCTTGCCCGAAGCTAGGGTTGTTGGGCATGTAACATCCTTCCATCTTATAAAGTATTCGTTCCAGAAAACCTAAAAATGCAACTATTATTACTTTTTTAATTCAATGCTTTTCCGAGGTAAACATTATTGATCTCTTTCATATCAGCTGAATAGCAACATACAAGTTTCTACAGGAATCCGCAAATGTGTTTTAGTAAATTCGTTCCAAATTAGTGATGAAAACATCTCATAACAAGTGGCATGCTACTTACTAACGGTCTTTCAGTGAGCTCTTGTAAGATATCTTATAGGTTTGCGATTCCGTTTATTTAACATACTGAAGACTGACATAAAGAAAGTTTCAAGCACTATACATCATACAGCATCATACAGTCTAAGCCAATATTTTATATACTATATTCATATAATACATATATATATATAAAGGTAAAATGTTATTGTTACTGGTTTATTATCTTGCGTTTAGTATGTATACACACGGAGGTAACATGTTTTTATCTGATTTATACCTTGCTTCATTAAGAGTGAAAGTAAAACGGAGAAACCAGCTCTTGAACGACATTCAGAAAATAGAAATTTCAAATGGATACGAAATAAAGAATTATACCATGAGCATAAAGTGTAACGTAATTTTTTACTTGATAAAATTATTTGTCATGTGGACTACCCAAAGTTATATAAAAGTTAAATTTTAGCTTTGCTCCATTTCATTAAATTACATATTCATAACAAAAATTATGTATTTTGAAATGAATAAGAATCTTTCCTACCTCAAGCATAAATAAATAGATTCTCTTGTTGACGCAGCTCAAGAACTATAAGAGCATGCCCAAGTTATATTTTTCTTTAAATCACAGAAAACGTTGCTGTTGAAATAATAGCCAGACACACTTCACATCTTTACATATGTGTTCTCATTGACTTCAGCCTGGAATACTGTTGAGTTGACGTCACTGATAATACACATAGACGAGCCTTTACAGGTTCAAAGAATCCATTGTTACGAAGGGATACTTTTAAACGGAGAACCAATCGGCATCTAATGTCTAGCCCACTCTCTTGCTATGTGGAACGTTGATTTGTCAGCAGCTAAACACTGTTTGACTAATCACATAACTCGTTTGAATAAAACGGAAGTGAAAAGGTTGACTTTAGAAACGTTTAATTGATTTATTTACACATACATTCTGGTTAAAGAATATCAAGAAACATCTTTTGTAGTAAAATAAACAAATTAAATGACATTTCTACATTCAAACATTTACTGTGGTAAGTAATGACAAAGTTACTTTTTTTTTTCATACGATGCTTCAATATTTCAGGAAGAAGGCTCCTGTTCTTAATAAAATTGTAAGAAATGCAACTCATTCGACACGTGTATGGAAGTTAATCCTAGATAAGATATAAACAACTTTTCAAATTACTAAAATTTGTCAATAAACCTTGACACTCCATATTTATTCGTAAACTCCCTATTTAACTCATCTGTTCGTGTTAATACAAATGTGGGCTTGATTTTTGCCTCAAAGCTGCTTAAAATGAAGTTTTTACTCTATTCATTCTCGTCTTCCAGTAGCTAAGCGGTCAGCTTGTATCGTTAAAATTCAGGGTTCAATGCCCGCAGTGGACAGAGCACAGATGTGTAGCTTTGGACTAAAACAAACTCTTCATTTATTGTCTGAACTCTAAATTACTCTTTGTAATTACTGCATGTTTATGCCATAATTCAATGTTGAAATGTTTCTTTGCCCAATATGATCCAAGTGTGTATTATCTATAAAACAATAATGCTTTAAATACATGTGTTTGTTTTGTAAAAAAAAAAAAATACTGTTACTATGACACCAGTACTTTGTAAAATTAACAAAATTTACAGATTAAGCTGAAAGCTAAGAGTAAAAATGCTATTTAATGAATTTTATTTAACTTTTTTTTTATTATTCCTCATAGGAGAAACTACTCTTGATGTGACCAACATAAAATTTGAATGAATAACTACTAACGAGCTCTCCGTTGTTTACATGAAGAAGGTAACTTTAGAAAGAATAAGTATTCAACATATAAAACATAAACATTTACAGTATATGGTTGTATACTCGTTAATAAAATCTTACATTATTTGAACTCGTGAGGAAAGCTGAGTAATTAGTTTTAATATACTTCTCTATAAAAGTATCTGCTGTGTTATATATGGCTTCCAGCTGCTAAACTATACCAAGACAGTCATGTTTGGCTCGAAACGCCACCAGAAAATGTATATGGCTTCTTGGCCTGTTGTCTGGCACGTGCCACTTGGTGTTCTGCTTAGAGGTATCGAATTGAGAGCTATCTGCATAAGAGTATATGTAATTATGTGTATTTTAATATTTCCTAAGATAACTGATTTTAACTCAGTGGTAACTATTTTCAAAGAAATTCAGAACCCAGTAACACAACTCTAGACAGTATGTTTAGACGTGTTTAGTTGGGTTCTATCTAAGCCTAACTTCTGTAAGCTGGTTTTTGCTTTGTGTTTATCCGTGATACATCAATGATTCATGATAGATAAAACGATAGAACTATGTAGAGAAACGGTTGCACTCTATTGTATTTGCGGAAACACACCCTTATAATGAAAAAAGCTTATTTTTCACGATTATGTAAAACATATAACTTAAAATTGTTAGTTTTATCAAACAATTAAGCAGCCTCACTAAGCTCAAATGAATAAGTTTCGTGTTATATACCAGTAACATACACAGTATATATTTCAAAGAGTCAAATTCTAAAAAGTACTTCTCATTTATAACTAGTACCAGCTGCAAAATAATGTTAACATTTATTGCTTTGATGCAAGTAGACTAATACACGGAAAATGTTTCATGTTAAGAGTTGCTCAAGTAAAACAAACAATAAAAATTTGCTGAAAAAATAGGACTACGACAAACACCTAGGTGGCGATATTTGTAAGAAGACTTATTGAGGGTCTTCTGAAAAACTTGTCGTCTGGTGACAGGGTGAAAGATTAAGTTGTCGACTCGTCATTTTTCCCACTTTTCTCTCATCAAATTGGCGCATTTGTGTTTAATTACGAGTTTGTTTAAGATCTTTAAGTAAACAGTAATGTCGTTAGAGCTTGTAACTACAGTCGCCGTCCCAGCAGGTAGCTCAGCGGACGTGTGGCACAGAAATCCGACCCCCGGACGCAGTGCCGAATAAAACAAAGTTAGATCAGCCTTAATCCCGCGTATGATTTTCAAGTAAGTGATCCGCCGTCTTCCGGAACTGAGGTAACGACAAACTGCCGACATTTGATATTCTCATCACCAGATGGCATGTATTCTACTATGTTGCTAGTATCCTGTTATTATGACATAACCTTTCTGTACGTCACACCATTCTGATACTAAAACACCCGTTAGTCTTGAATCAAAAATAGTATTGTATATTTGAGTACTGTTTTTGTTTAGAGAAAGTCACATGTACACTGAAAGAATTAACGTGATTCCTTTATCAAAATAATCCTACAGAAACGATGAAAATTAAGCTCAGTGAAAGTTCTAACCAGCTAAATCGTCGACAATGATTGAAAAAAAGCAGTTTTTCTGTTGTATCATTCTTGTCGAGAAATCTGAGTTACGGCAATGCAATCGTCAAACCTCTTTCGTCGGTCAAAAAAAAAAAAAGAATATGTTTTAACATATAGTTAGCACCATTCTTTTAAATTTTCCCCAATATATTTGCGTTTGAAAGCAGGTAGATAACAAGGTAAATCAACTAGGAAATGTAAGTTTAAAAACTGATTGACCAAAACACTCCTAAAGAGAACTGTTTAGTTTAGTTTAGAGTATAGTTTAAAAGAGTGGAGATTAAAGAACCCAGTCATTTTCCATTTTACGTTGAACTGTAGATAATAATTAAACCCTGAATACTTAAATGTCATAATTCAAAACTTTTGATCACATTTCATTTCCTTTTTGTTTTCTCTCTATATTTGGCCATTTGTTAAACTATCTACCTTATAGGTCTGTGTTATAGCCGATATTTTTAATTTAGTCATTTCTAAAATTCCATGTATTGTAAACATAGTTTGTACACGTGTTTTTCGTTAATTCTGGAATTCTGAGACTGTATGGCTTGTATATATATATACATATATTTCTTCTTTATCTAGTCATTTCTGGAATCTGTTGTAGACTTAGTTCTTACACATTATTTTCATTTGATCCAGTCTAGTATCTAGTCATTTATGGAATTTTGTAGACTTGTTAATGTTTTTTATTTATATTTATTCATTTCTTGAATTGTGCATGTCACACACCTAGTTTCGTACACGTATTTTTAACCCCTTTTTTAACGATGGACAATAATAAAATAACTGGTTGTCATAACAGAAACAAGCTTTTGAATGACCGGAAGTACACAGCGATCAGCAACAGTAGTCAAACCGTAGTTCCGAAATGGTTTTGCATTACTATCGCTCAGTAGCTACGTCCACATTGTTTCTAGCCGCGACATAACAAGTCATAGAATGGCTCTGAGATTTTGTTTTCCTTTTTTTTTTTTAAGTACAAATTTTTAGCTCGTAGCTCCGTCATCTCTTGACCGATTTGAGATAGAATTACAGTTTTGGATTCAGAAGATCAAACCCTTTCGATTGTTGTATTTGACCGTGCCCAAGGTCTCATCAATTTATTTAATCTAATCGTGCCTAAAACAATTTTCAATTTGAGGGTAGGATCGTAGAGATCCTGATGAGTAATAAAATCGAATCGGGTATACGCATCCCTCACACTCGGTATTGCTGGCGCATAAAAATATAGTTAATAAAAAGGATAATAAAGGTCTCAGATTAATTTACTCTAATTCTGCTTCAAAAAATTTCAAGTGCCACGGCTATTGAGGATTCCCTCTTGCTTATGTGTGTGTGTGTGTGAAAATTTTCAAATTATCCTCTCTAGCAATGCAAGTCCCGAATACTGAAATGTATAAATATGAGAAACAGCCAGTCGCAGTAGTAAATGTATAAATATGAGAAACAGCCAGTCGCAGTAGTAAATGTAT